GCTAGGAGCCTAAGATTTCAGTGGTCTTTCCATTCTGCTTTACAAAGGAAATAAGAGGACGCTACTCAAGATTTCAGGGATCTACTCATTTGAAATAGTCATTGGAAATAACCTGACCAGCTGGACCCTCATAGTTGCCTTTATATTTACCCACAAACAAAACCTGCGCTCCTAGGACTAGGCTAACCTCATCCCTTGGAATTTAGCAATCTCTACAGGCCTGTGAACACGCCCTAGGCAGGCCTGGAATAAATTTGACTCTGGAATTTGCTTTGATGAAGCAAATTACCATTCACCTTGCTCAATTCCACTGGATGTCAGACTTCCTAATATGCAGAGCAGAGTTCTCAGTAGAACCTGGGAGCCATTCACTAGGGTAGCTCTGATGACCTTTTCCAGCAAAATTCTTATACAATCTTGGGAGAAGATGAGCATTCCAGGGTAAAGCTGAGGATGATGGTGATGAACTGTCCTTTGTCTCCACATACAGCGTCAAGAACTAGAATCAGAAAACAAAAAACTGAAAAATGAGTTAAATGAGTTGCGCAAGGCCCTGAGCGAGAAAAGCGCCCCCGAGGTGACGGCTCCAGGTGCACCAGCCTACCGCGTCCTCATGGAGCAGCTGACCTCCGTGAGTGAGGAGCTGGATGTCCGCAAGGAGGAAGTCCTCATCTTGAGGTCTCAGCTAGTGAGCCAGAAAGAGGCCATCCAACCCAAGGTAAGAACGAGCAAGTGGCCAGAGAGGGTGTTCGGGGACTGGCGCCTATGTCTTCCTATCCTTTCCCTCCCATTTAAAATGAAGCAAGCACTTAAGAGCATTTCTAATCTAATTGAGGATATCATCATTTTAAAACAGAAAACCTCAATGTTGTTTTAAAACTGTTGTGTCAATTAAAGTGAGCAAAAAGCAAAGGAATCCCAAATAATCTTCAAAGTTTCATCTCTCGCTCATGAGCAAAGGGCTTTTAAAATTCATCTTTTTGTAGTAATGTGGCCACAATAAATTTTGATCAAAAATAAGATTCTATTTAATACAAAAATCCGTAAATTGTCTTGCTGTGGGGAGGTATAAAATACAACTTCAAAATTATTTGTTGAAAGTAGCCTGTTTAACTGGAAAGGTAACATATGAAAAAGGTTAGGAATGAAATCAGTGAATGGAAGTTATATAGAGATATTTCTGCTCACTTTAGGGAGTTCTGTTTAATAGGGGGAGCTGTCCCAGTGGGGAGGGGCAGTGTTTAGTGACTCAACAGAAAGGACCCACACTGGAGAATAGAGATGGCCCTTTGAAGCCCTTCCCTGCCCTATCACTGCCATACGCTGATCAGAAATGGGCCTCTTTGTCATTTTGCATCAGACAAAAATGGTCTGAGTAATCATCTTAAAGCCTGACCTTTATCCCTGCCCACGTTCATGCAGCAAACCATTATCAAGGCATCTATCCCAACTACCTGACATACTATGTAAAATATGACTATGATATATGATGAACTGGATGCCTGAAAGATCTGAGAGTGCTTCTCTTAGACATGGTAGTTTTGCATGTGGTTAAGATACTGACCCTGGCATGTAAATTTGAATTTGATAAAGGCAGCTCTCACCTAGGATTAACACTGATCTGGAAAATATCAAATTATAAAAATGAAGTGTGTGACTGAATAATCTTGGGGGGAAAGTTCTATTAATAACAAGTGAAGTTATATAAAGAAATGGCTTTCTTATTTTAAAACAAATCACATACCCCTTAATTCTGAAATGAGAAGTTGGCAAAGGCCCTATACACCTCACTGTCTCAGTTTGGTTCCCATGATGACCACTGTGGTTGGGTCTCAAGAAACAAGGCCCCCTGTGCGTGCTAGCTGGAATGGAGTTCACAATCAGGATTCCTTTCTCTGGTTCCCTTGTGACAAACTGGCATTCTCACAAGAAACTTTAGTAAAAGTTAAGGTGAAGGAAAAGAATAATGAACCAAGGGGCACAAAAGCAATCCAGCTACCAAAGCACATAGTCTGGGATCACACACTCTCACTTTCCCAGCTCACATACTCCATGTGACAACTGCTTGCCAGCCCCTTAGTGGGCTGGCTCTGTCTCACTGAAGTCCCTGCTTTCCAAGCTCCCAGCCTGCACCTTGCAGCAGCTTATCCTGTCCTAGGAAAAATGCCTATCGTGCTGATTGAGACCTTGCAGATACCCACTCAGTTTCTTGTCATCATTTTACGACTCATCATTTTACAACTCCCTTGCAGGACAGTGGTGAGTGACACCCAGTGAGCAAGGGATGATCCAGCCTAACCAGGTCTAGTTCATCTGCTCCACCTCCACAAGTACTCTGGGAGGCTTTACTTCGACAAATGGTGTCCTATCAGGGCATTGCTGTAACTCTCACAGGCCGCGGATAAGAATTTCACCCATGTACATTAACAGGAGGTTCATTTTCTCACATACTCAAAAATACTTTACAATTAGGGGAAAAAAAAAACTCAAAAAGAATTTCAAGCACTTGTTTCTGAGAATTAAGACTTGCTATCACATAAATATATATTAATGTTCATTTCATGTCAGTTCCATGAATATTAATTTATTGAGTTAGTTTTAGGAGAAACAATTCATGGTTGTTTTTACAGTTAGCTTTGATTTGTTATGATAGGGACTCAATGATGGAATTTATTTATGGAACTAACTAAGGGTTTATTGTTTTCTCCATTTTTTTTTTGTGTGTGTGCTTGCCTGCTTGTGATTTTCAGGATGACAAGGTAATTATAAAATTTTTAGTAAATACTTCTATTTAATCCTAATTTTAGTTTATAAATACCTCTTAACATATGTAATTGATGCTTTCTAGCCACCAAGTCTATTTTTATATGTACAAATGAATTTCCTATTTTAACCCCTTCTTATTTGGGAAGCCAATGGGAAAATATGGATGTACTAGGCTCCCGTCTGGCTCACAGAGAGGGCTCCATGACTCCTAATTCACAGTCAGCTCTGTGACTCACTGTAGTAGTTGTGGTAAGCCATCCACAGTGGGGGAAGCAGGCCCTTAACCTGGAGCTCACTCGAAAGCACAGGCTCTCCCATGCCCTCATTTCTGTTGGCTGTGGGTTTGTTGGCCAATGGTGAAAAGGAGCCTGAGTTGCTGAACACACCCTTCCTGGGGAGGGTGGGACTTTCCTACATGGTACAACCCTTTCAAAACTTCTGGCCACTGGATTGGGGCAGACAAACAGTGAGTCAGAACTTCCTAACACAGGAGGTCTAAGTCTGATCTCATGCACCAACCACCTATTCTTTTTTTTTAATTGGAGAACAGTGTGTTTTTCCAGGACCCTTCAGCTCCAAGTCAAGTAGTTGTTTCAATCTTGTTGTAGAGGGCACAGCTCAGTGACCCATGCTGGGATCGAACTGGCAACCTTAGTGTTAAGAGCACTGCTCTCTAACCAATTAAGCTAACCGGCCACCCCCCAACTACCTATTCTTAGCTAAGAAAGGCCAGATGAAAGAAGGACTGGCTTACCACTTGCTGCCAGAACAGCAACATACTGAGAAGCCTATCTTTCCTTTGGATTAGTTAATTAGATAAGGTAGCTAATTTACTAAAAGTTCAAAACACACCCTGTAGGTAGGTCCTCATATCAGAGAATCCATGTAGCATTATAGAACCTGGGCTTTTGAGAGTTATTACCTAAAATTTAAAAATCTGAGTGTAACCCTTTATACAATAGACAGATTTTCTGTCTTTGGGGGGAAAAATGAATTTTTTATGAAATTTGTACTAAAATATTTATAAAACATAGCTAAAGAAATGCTTTATGTGGTGTTTATGGGAAAAATATTTAAAATTCAATAAAATATGCTTTTGTTAATAGCTTTTATCAGATTATATTTAGTCTTCTCTAAGGATGCATTTATAAACTCACAAAAGGACAGCATTAGGAGAAAAGTGGGATTTTTTTTTAAAAAGAATGTTCCTTATAAACACTAAAATGCAAAAGCAAGTATTTGTTGGTTCTACTTGGCATTAAAGTTATCTTGAAACTGATCTCTGATGTCATGGTATTTGAAGTGTATCCTATTAACACCACTTCATTGTGAGACCAGGCTATAGAGCAAACATTGACTAACGGATGAGACATATACTATTTAGACAAATTGTGTGGGCCCTTGTGTTCCAAAGTATACTTTTCATTAGAGATTATAGAGCAGTGGTTCTTATTGTCTGTTCTTGCCCTGGTTTAGGAGAGAGATAGAGAGTAGCTGAGTAGAAGCAAGATTTTGAAATTATATTGGTTGTCAGACAGATTAGACCAAAAAGGGAAGTAGAAATGTTAGCAGAAAAGTCCTTTTTATACAAAATCTTTAGTAATTCTGACCTGTCAGATGTTAATTTCAAAAGCTTCATGCTATGTACTGTAATAGAGGGAAAAAGAATTGAATAAAGCAGATGATAGATATTTATAAGAGCTAAATCTTTCCCATTTATATATACCTAAAGATGTGAAGGAAGAAAACTTTTAATTTTGCTGAAGCATATCATATGAATGCCATCTTATCGGTACTGAGTTTTTAATGGAAAAATGAGGTTTATGGCAAACGTTTAGTGTTTTGTTGGGGTGTTTGTTTTATTATAATTGATCAGAAAGTAGTAGAAAAAACAGCTTTGTGCATTTCACTAAATAGCTACTCAGTGATCTTGTCTGATTATCGTTCTAATGCTGTATATATACTTTGAAATATATATATTTATACTATATATATGTATATATGAAGTATATGAAACTCATTATATGTATATATGTGTAAAGTATATAGTATATATAGCATTAGAACAATAACCAGTAAGAACACAGAGGAACTGTTTAATGGAAGATAGATAGATAGATAAATGGATGGATAGATAGATAGATTATAGATAGATAGATAGATTCTCCCCACCCCCCCACACACAATATTAAACACACATAGCCCGTCAGTTATTTTATTTACGGGACACTGGTACTCTAGAATCTCACTTCCTTTGTAATAGAGCGTTAAGGATTCTCAAGAAAGGAACTGAAATGAAGGCTCCTCTTTCTCTTAGCTGCCCATGCCCACTCTCCTCTTGCATTTCTACGGGGCTGCAGCTGATGCCCTGGGGGGGCCGAGTTGTAGAGCACAGAAAGCCCCCTATTCTGGAGGAAAGAAATTTGTTGTGTGTGATCCAAAGCTTTTGAGTTGATTTTTAATGAATGTGGAAATGTGTCATTTCTCCCTTCAGAATACAATGACAGATTCCACAATACTTTTGGAAGATGTACAAAAAATGAAAGATAAAGGTGAAATAGCACAAGCATACATTGGTTTGAAAGAAACAAACAGGTACGTTGATCCTTTT